ATGATGGCCCCTCGAAGACGAAACGTCGGATTGCAAAAATGTTGACGCCATTGGATAGAGCGAAAACAGTGGCAATGTAAATATGCAATTTATTTAAAATTCGTTTTCAAATAAAGCCAGAAAAAAATAAAACGATTTTGCAAAATTTCGGGTTTTCGGATTTCGCGTCAACAGTAGACTTTGCAGAGTTAATACTTTGTATTGCTGAAATCTCAAATCGTCCAGAGATCTTTTTTAATTTAAACAAATTATCAACAATAAATGAAAAATTTATTGTTGCAAGTCATTTTTATTTTTTTTGCATTTTTGAGTATGCTTTTGAACTGTTACATATTACATATTTTTTTATTTCACCAAAGAGTAAATATTAAAACGAAAAAAATGATTACCGACAGAACTCTGTACGATGATTTTTTTAAGTAGAATTTTTCTTTGAAAAAAAAGTGTTTCAGACCCAAAAAAATGAATATCAGAAACTTCTTGATTTTTTTATCTAAAAAAATTTGAGGTTATCTAAGACAGAGAAAGGTATACTTTCACCATGTTTCATCAAAATTAAATTATTTTTGCGGAAATGAGAAATAAAAAAACGAAAAATCAGAAAAACACCTGTTTTTCGCATTTTTTTTCGGAAATTAGGTTATGCCAAAAAGTGATCTCTACAAAAGTTATAGATTTTTGCATGAGCTACAACTTTTGTATTGGATACTTTTTTGTTTGAGGTCAACTTTCGCCAGAAATCCCAATGATACAATTTTTCATAACTTTTCAACCCCCCAAATCAATCCTCCGCCGCCCCTACTCACGCATTTATTTTTTTTTAGGTTTATTATAAGCCCTTTTACCATTTCCACTTATAAAATTCTAGGTAACAATTTTTTTTTCTCCAAGAGTTGGACTAATAGGGCAGCTCCGTAGAAGCGATCGCGTTGTGGAATATACAGTGTGTCCCCGGAAGTGGTAACGCACTCTTGTAAACTTTTTTTAATGTTGATATTTCCAGAAAAAGTTATTCTTGATAAAAGGTTTTGCTTATCTTGGGAAGCCATGAGCAGTAATCAAATATGAAATAAAACATTCCAAATACCTAATTTAAAAACCTGAAATTTTCCCTTTCATTTTTGTTTTCGTTAAAAACTGTATTTAGCAAAGTTGTGAAGATGCGATTTTTAACTATCTTACTCAATGCAGACAGAAAATGTAAAAAATAAGTAAACTTTTATTTTAAATTTAATATACTATAAAAATAACTTGGTAGAACAATTTTCGGATTGGTTGCCACATCGTCGGTTTAGGTTTCTTGACGTTTCGAGTGACATATCGCTCTTTTCCTCAGAAGTAACTGAAAATTTTCGAGTTTTTGAAAAGAGCGATATGTCTTCTAGCACTTGTATTTTCGAGTTAAGAGAAGTAACGCATATTGTGATAAAAGTTCACTTCTTAAATTATGTTTCTTTACACTTAATATGTCTTTGATTCGCTGTATAAACCATATCCATTCTAGCACTTATACAACAATTATTATGTAAGTTTGAAATGCTGTTAGTTTTTAGGTGCAAATGCAAGAGCTAAGATTATTCGTCAACAGAATCACCAGACAGATCAGTTTCGAACTTATTAGTTCCCATGAGTAACAGTGACAATTAATTGTGAGAAAGAATTATTCTACTACAGAGTAGGACACTACAGAATTATATGAATATCTGTTTAATAAAAAGTCCTCATTTTATATCTTTCAGTAAAATAACACATAGTAATAAAAAACTGTCTTATGCTATTTATTAACTTTATAAATATTTCATATTTATATATCATTTAACTTTTACCACTCTTCTATTTCTATTTTTTCTCATTTCTATTTTATAGTCAAGCTTCGACTCAAGTAAACCAAAAATTAATTAAGAGAAATTACAATATTTTAGTCACGGTTATTGAAATGATTTGATACTTTTAGTCGATTAACAAATTATAACTTCTATTATGATATAAATAAAGTTTTTGAATAGAAAAGAATTTGGAAGGTCAGTAATTATAGTACAAGGTGAGGTAAATTTCAAATATATATTGATATACGTAGCTTATGTAAAAAAGATTTTAGTTCTTATAAATTATTTCAACTCAAAAAAATCTATTAACAAATACGGCCAAAAGAAATTGATTTAAAATATTTTCAAGTTTGTAACTTCACCGCTAGAGGGCGCAACTGCTGTAGTGTTACAGAAAATTGTAGTTTTTTCGAAATTTCGCTCATATAACCTAAGTTGAAAATACACTTATTAGATACACTGTTAAACCCTTCACAAGTTTTGTTTGAACTTTTTTTTGTTAATAACCATAGCAACGCCAGTATAAAGGACGCCATCTTGAAATTTTTAAATTGTCATAACTTCTAAATGCCGTAATCGATCTCAAGAAACGACGGCCCATTTTAAAGAACATCCCAAGAATGTAACATTTTTACTAATTAACCCAAGATAGAGTAGTAAAAACAATAGATTTAACGAATATTATGTCATAAATGTCACTATGATATCAATTTGGGTTGAACCGTAGGCCTATAATTATTTGTAATTACTGATGCTGAAAAATTCACCTCAGCAGCCGCTATTATTCATAGTTCGTAGTTATCGTGAAATATCGGACTGGCAAAAGGTCCATCCGTACTCTGTCTTATGACGTGTGTGGATAATAATTATATTATACGTGTATTTGTATAGCAATTAAATTGATTTTTATTTTGACTATATCTGTACCTGTCTGAATCTGAATTTTCTTTGAACAGGAAATACATAGATACAGGATGTATCCTGTATCTTTTTCCTAATTACTGATAAATATAGATGTAACACATTTTAAAACATTAAATAGAATTTTAATAAATAAAATGAGACTTACCTTACGATGATATGATGACTCTTACTGGAATTTCTTTGTTACAATTTCTACAAGCACTAAACTTGAAACACCATTCGGCATGCGAGAATCTAAGCACTCACTTCTTTACCGTTTGGACGATCTGTGGGCACAATAACACTTATTTAGGAATTAAAGCAATAAAATAATGTTTAAATGAAGATAATACAACAGCACAAACATCTACGCGTCTACATTTACAGCAAAGGGCTTAAGTTTTTTGTTTTTCGAAGCGTCATTTGATTCGTAGCCGGCTGGATATATAAGCGGCTGTGGAAATTGGACGGACGCAAGACGCAAGGGTGTTTTGATTGAACTGATCATATTTGAATCAAGGTTAATATTGAAGTGTATTATAAATCCCATTATTTTCTTTCTGAGTACGTGCTTCCAATATTTTTTTATCGAAAAAGATATATTATCTATGCAGTTCCCAACTAACTTTGTCAGGTAATTAAGACATTTTAGTGATAACTGATACCGCCAGGTTTTCAAAATCATTTTTACTTGATAACTGTTTAGATAACTTCAGTGGCGTACTCTTATGTCACAAACGGATTTAAAAAAATGTTCATTTTGTTATGAAGCAAAAAAACATTTTTTAAAACCTCTGTCAAAGTAGTGTCCAATTTAAAATAAATTGAAAGGAAAAAAAATTGCGAATTTTTTACTTAAATAAAGTAAAGTAAAAAAAGTAGTGAAGAATAACAAATATTTGAACTGTAAAATTTTTATATATTTCATAATATAAGTACATCATACACAGGGAACAAAATATATAACTTGTATTAATTTCGTATTGAAGCTTAATATCAACATTTACGCTATAATTTTCTGCTAATTCAAAATAAGCTCGTGAAAGTATACACAATTTTTGGATTATGGTTCTATACATCTGACCTCCGACATAATATAACTAGAGTTACGATGATACATGAATTAAAGAAAGGCAGAAATAAGGGTAAATTTAATGTTTATTAGGCAAGTCGAGGACTATAAATCACAGTAAGCTGAGTTTGCCCGTAATTTTATTCACGTCGTCTTCTAATCCGAAAAGGCTCAACACAGTCACCGAGTTGGGCGCTACTTGGGTGTGGCCAGCGTCTCTTACTAAATAACAGGGTATGCTGTTCGCTTTCGCCTTTTCATACAGCTCTTGCAGGTGCACCTCATTGTTCCCTTTTAAAACGATTTTCTTTTCCCTAAAAAGAAGCGACAGAAAAATATTTCACACCACCTTCTCGTTTTTACCCTATGTATTCCCAATTATTTAAATCGTCTTCTTTGTTCTGTTCTAACATTTCCCTATAAAGGCCTAAACAGGCGTGACCCACCTAAAAAAATATGTCTATACATTATCTGAAACATATAAATCAAAATATTGTATGTCATAAAATATATGTCAAGTAATTACAACAGTAAATGCTACCTGTGCAGCTATTTTCCCCACACCCATATTTAGAGAAGTATTTACAACAAAAGTCATTTTATAACATTTTATATCTTCTTCATCTGCACTTTCATCCCCCGAGTTATCCCTAGCCTCACCCCCACCGTCTGCTACACTCTTAAAAGTTTTTTCGGGGCTTGCCTGTTCATCCTGATAATTGAAAATATAATTTACAGCATCTTCAAGCGAGTTGTTCCCAGTACAAAAAAGTGCCTAAAAATTCCCAAAGTTTTAAACACACGTGCAACGTCTTAGAAAATCGCTAAATTATTGTCAGAAAATTTTATTTCAATGTATAATTTGGTACACCCTATATACGAAAAACTTACTTCAGTTGCAATGTTGTATGATATACCCATCGAAATTAATGTTTGTAGATATTCTTGATTAGGTTCCCATTTTTCTTCCATAATAATTACAAATTTGAGGATTGCGGAAAATAGTTCGAATTTTTTATAACTGTATTAAGAGTTCAACACGGAAGTATAAAATGTAACCTAAAAAACATGATCAATCAATCAGATGCCGGTGGAGGGGAAAGTCAATAAACAGTGCTACCAACATTGCCCCAATTTAGCGCATCGAATGTATTATTCGATAAGACGTTATTTTTTAAACTACGACTACCAATATTGATAAAAATTCCTTATCAAAATGAAAAATAGTAAAAATACCCATATTATAAAATATTAAAAAGATCCCTATTGCATAATACATACCATGGACAACAGAAGTACTAGCAAAAATTTGGAAAGTTCATTATCCATACCATTATGGAAACTGTTTATTAACCAGATCTCTTTAGAGCACAAAACATTTTAGAGTTTAGGTTAAATGACTAGAAAGCTGAATTTTATCTTGTAAAAAACATAAACTTTGGTGGTTGGTTAAAAAAAAGCTAAAAGTAAAAGCTTCGAACTTAGTAGTTTTTATCATTTGAAAGTATTTTTATTTCAAAATTTTAACTTTTTACATGTAAAGTACTCTGTTATGGAATGTGCTATGCGACGTTCATTGTAAATCATAAAATATATAATACTCCATAATAATCTACTTTATTACCATTCACAATTTTTTGTAGTGACGTTTGTTGATGTGGTTTTGGTGCGGCCAGTTGTTGAGGTTAGTTTTTTCCGGTGTTATTTCTTGGAGTTCTACAGTTGACATTTGCAAAAATGTATCATTTTGTCCATAAGATTTTGAAACAAATATATTTAATTTTTGTACGTCATCTCAGATTAGGCGATATATTATGTTGAAATGTTTGACTTCAATGTTCTGCGGTCAAGTACTAACGAAATTTAATAGGAAAGAGGTACAAAATGTGACTCTATTTCCTCAATTACTTTTGTCCCAGTTACATTGTGCCACTCATTAAATTCTAAACAACTTTACATGTAAATTGTGTAAGAAAATTGTGTCTGTAACCAAATTGGGAGATATCCTTTGAACAACAGCTTCCCAAATTGTTATATACTTTTATATATTTTTATTTAAATTTCTAAAATACTGTTTAAGGTTGGCCTACAAATTAATATTCTATAATCATATATAACTGTCCTGTTAATACAAACAAGGACTATTAATGCTAAAGCACAGTGATGTTACATTCAAATTGGGAAAGATACATTTTAAGTGATCTTTATGTTTCAGTGGGAAAACTAAATGGGAAAAATCAAGAACCATAAGAAGAAATGCAGTGATGATTCAGATCCAGCGAAACTGAAAAAACGTAAAGATAGTGATGTCGGTTCAGAGAATGAAAATGAAGCTCCGAAGAAGAAAAGGCGAATTTCGAAGAAGCGCAAACGGGATTCTTCTTCATCGAGCTTTACTTCGTCCTCATCATCAACCAGTAGCAGCAGTAGTGACTCGTCTTCGGAGAATGAAGAAAGAAACAAGAAGAAAAAGCTGAAGAAAAGGCGGAAACATGCCGAGTCATCTTCAAGCACGTCTTCGTCTAGCAGCGACTCATCTTCCGACGAAGAAGGAAAGAAGAAAAGAAAAATGGATAAGAATCGGAAGAAACTTAATAAAAAACAAAAAAAGCACAGATCGAAGAAGGAATCGTCTTCAAGTTCCTCATCGAGCAGCAGTTCCAGTAGCACCGACTCAAGCAATGACGAGAAAACCGTGAAAAAGAAGAAACCGAAGAAAGAAAAAGCAAACGAAAAATCGAAAAAGAAACCTGAAGAAGACGGTTCTGCAGACATTCCTTTGCACTTAATGGAAAAGAATAAAGCGATGGCGCCTATGACTAAGGAGGAGTGGGAAAAGAAGCAGTCTGTTGTCACCAGGGTGTACGATGAGTCTACTGGACGACACAGGTAAGAAACAAATGAAGAAAGGTCAAAGTATCGAAAAATATGTGTGACTGTGAATAAATGCTCCTTTGTTAAAATATTCTATAGCCATTTTTTTAAAACATTGTAAAATCTTCTCGAGGCACCGCATAAACAAAAGTGTCTCTTTTTTAGGCTGATTAAAGGTGACGGGGAAGTGTTGGAGGAAATCGTCAGCAAGGACCGGCACAAAGCAATCAATCAAAAAGCCACGGCAGGAGACGGGGACTATTTCCAGGCTAAGTTGTCGGAAAAGTTGAAAAAATAAATAATACGACTATAAAGTGTTAAATTCTATTTTTAATTTATAGATACATAACTTCTAATAAATTTTTACAATATATATATTTATCTTATTTAAAAAATAGTTTCATTGCGCGAATCGTCTAAGAATATGAGCAATATTTAACAAATATATACAGGGTGTCCAAAAATGAAATAGAATCTTTGTCTAAAGTGAAGAATATTTTCGTACGTGAACAGTGGCCCTCAGTATTCTTCATTTTTGGGATATTATACACAGTCCGGTTATTAAGAAGGCTCCATAGCAAATAGGCAACCAGCAATACATTTTTATAGATTTTATTACACAGCTTGTCTAAATATGAATTAATGCACAAATAACAGACTTTCCTCCATTCTAAAGCAGATTTTCTATGAAATGAACTTAGTTTGAAACTCAAATTACTCTTTGGTGTAAAGAAATTTGTAATTTACATGGCAAATTCCAAATTTCTTCACACCAGAGAGTAACTCGAGTTTCAAACTAACTCCATTTTATAGAAAATCTGCGTTAGAATGGAGGAAAGTCTGTTATTTGTACATTAATTCATATTTAGACAAACTGTGTAATAAAATCCATAAAAATGTATTACTGGTTGCCTATTTGCTATACAGCCCTTTTAAGTTTTAAAACGTGTTTTATTATGGCAGTATCTAGGTGCAGTTAATGAAACTATGTAGTGGTAAGCCTTTTGAAAAACCGAACAAAATTTCATCAGTATATGTGTATCTGCCACGAAGTTATAACGTTTTGCATAAAGCGAGTTTTCTTGAGAGCATACTGCAATCAAGTTCTTTAAAGTCGGCAAAATAATCACAGAAACATATCAACTGTTTTAAATGACATACAGTGAGGAATGTGTATGACGTTCGACTGTGTTCGTGTGGTCCGGAAGGTTTCGTGATAGACTCGGCAAAAGTCGAACGAAAGAAAACGTCAAAGCTGTGTGGTCTGCTGTGAAATTTGATTGTCGACCAATCGTACACGGTCTGCCAACACTTTAATGGTTGATCGACAATCAGACTGCAGCGCAGAGCGTACAGCTTCGACGTTTTCGTTCGTTCGGCTTGTGTGGAAACGCCCCGTGCTCTCATTATCGTACAAGCCGTCTCGATCATCCCGAACCACAGAAACACAGTCGAACGTGATACACACTCCTCACCATATATCGTTTGTAACAATTGATACGTTTCCGTGGCTGTTTTACTGGCTTTAAAACAGAACTTGATTGCTGTACGAGTGTACACTATTCAAAGTTTCCATAACAATTATCAAAAACTGGCTTCACGCAAAACGTTATAATAACTTCGTGGTAGATACACGTATGCCGACCAAAGAGTGACCGCAAAAACCTGTGATTTTCACCCGTTTTTTCACAATTCGCAGAGAATTTAAAAAAATACATCAAAATATGTTTTTGGTCGCAAATTACTTGTCGTAAAAAACTGAAATGAGCATAGCTTTTAGCATTTTGAAAATTTTAAAAATCACCCCTACTTAGGGGTTGAAAAAATGCCAAAAATGAAGAATTTGAATGGTACCAATTGATATTAGCATGTGAATTATCTGAATATATTTTTTTTTGGAATTTTTCAAATATTTCTGATATTCTCCATTTTTGGGGATGATTCCACCCCTTGAGCGCGCTTAAGGGTGGATTTTCTAATTCAACATGCTTATTTCAGTCATGAGAATAAATTTCTCTTTGTATCAAGAATCATTCGATAGAAAAATTAACATGCTAATAGTTTCTATATTTATTGGTAGGCAATATTCAATTCTTCATTTTGGGCGTCTTTTCAACCCCTAAATACGGGTGATTTCTGAAAATTTTCAAAAAACTAGCTAGCTATGCTCATCTTAATTTTTTACGACGAGTAATTTGAGACCAAAAACATATTTTTATCGATTTTCTTTAGTTCTCTGCGAATTGTGAAAAAACGGACGATCTTTGCGGACACTCTTTTGTTCGGTCGCTCGAAAGGCTTCGCACTACGTAGTTCCGTTCATAGATAGCGCCACAATAAAGTCAGTCTTAAAACTTAGTTACCGGACTGTGTACAATAAAGAGAAAGATAAGAAAAAATAATCTGTTTTACAAATGCATTTTCGTTCTTGACACTAACTGGAAGATAAGATTAAATAGCGACAATAATGAAAATGCAACAGAATTGAATTTAAATTTCGATTAGAAGTATCCTTATATTTTCAGACCAGACAATACATAAAAATATATGAGTACATTCTTGCGAGTATATAAACTTTTTCCTGAAAATCAGTCACACCTCCGAGTTTTGCAACATTTAGTCGGTCGATTCTTCCAAATCAAACTAAGAAAAACGCATTGTTTATAGACGTTTATTATTCTTAATACTAGACATATTAATAAGCTAGTCGGTTTCTTTCCTCCGATATATATTAATAACAAACAATACCCTCAGTCGCTTCTCCTAAACTATAAAGATAGAATATATATGAGATTAAATAAAAATAAGTTTTACAAAAATATATCATTCACAGAATTCCCCCACGCTTCTAAAAACAATCAACTCAGTATAAAAATATGTCCAAATCTAAAACAGCTGCATGAAATACGAAGTGGAACCGTCCCGCCAGGCGGGGTCGTCGACAATTTTAGCCCTGCACAGGGGACAAGTCTGTTCCCTGTCAAACCAGGTCGTGACGCAACTCTCGCAGAAAATGTGGCGGCATTGGAGCAAAACCGGAGAGTCGTATTCGTCGTGACAGATGGGGCAGTGGTCCCCCGCCGTCTGTATCTGGTCCTTGCTAGGGGAGGATCCGATACTCTAAAAAATGTTGAAACAATCACCCGACTTTTCGAAAATAACATAAATTTTATATTTTATGTATATTATACAGGACTGTGGAAGAAGTCGTAACCCGCAGCACATTTTTTTAATGTAATTTTGATCAAATACATCTTTTTATACAACTTTATTAATTTCAATACAAACAAAAATTTATATCTGCACAACTTTGGACTGTAAATATTTAACTGAAAAGACTGATAAATTAAAATAAAAGAAAGTAATTTAGATAACGTGTCGTATTAAAAGAAATGATAACTAATTCATGAGAATGTTGACACAATTATAGAAAAAATTTATTTAGATAACATTATTTACTCGAAAACATAATTTTTGCTTGTAATATGTACATTTATTTTTAATAAACTAAACATTTTAAAAAGTATTGTAAATTTGTGATATAAAAAAGACACACTAAATTCAATTACTATAAATATAAATTATAAAACTGTAATTATTATTTACAACTGACAATGACATACGAGTATGAGTATATTACTTACCACATTCTGTAAAACTTTGAAGAAAGCAGTCTTCAACAGTTTCATCCTCGACATTAAATCGGTGCCCTTCGAAATCATATAGAATGCTGACAAAAATACAGCAACAATTTTTTCCGGGCCTTGATATGATTCAAGGAGGTAGTACAGCCAGGGTTGAATCGCTGCGATGCTTCTATAAAGCTGCGATACTGCTTCGATGAATAAATAAACTTTTCCCTAAAATTTCGTGTCATTCTTAATTAAACAGAACAAAAATATATATCATTAAAGCTTTGAATTTATTAGTATTATTCAAATTTCATGTACGAAATAATAATAATATGTTTATTGCCCAACATAATGTTAAACAACATAAATCGTGACAGCATAAATTACTAAAAAATGAATTTGTTTACAACTGGTTATGTGTTATTTATAAATAACAATGAAAAAATTTATTGCAAAAAATTTCTAAGTAATATGCAAAGAAGACCCCACGCTTCATAGACATAGACATGGCATGCATAAATTATTTAATCTAGCACTTGGCATGCTTTTATCATGTGACAAGTATGAAAAATCCTGTTTTCTGTAATAGTCCGGTCAAATTAGACCAAAAAATAAGAGTGAAGGTACATAAATTTACAATAAGCTGAAAGTGAGTAAAATTGTTTAAAACATAATTAAAAATAACATATTAAAATTCCTCATCGTTACGGTACTCGGAAAAAAATTTACTCGAGGTCAAAGGTCAAAAAAATGGGTTTTTCGCGATTTTCAGCTAAACGCTAAGTTTTATCATAAAATTACCTCAAACAAAAATTGTAGATCATAAAATTATCTATAAAAAATGTATCAATACTTTTTTTCCTAAGAACCCGTTTCTGAGATATAACGATTCAAAAAGTTGTAAAAGTTGTTATCATGATAATATGCATAAGTACGTCACGTATATACATCTCTGAAGCTGTAATATAAATAAAAATATTTTTCCATCGGTGATTGTAACTTACACTTAAAATATAAAATATACATAAGTATAACTATGAGAATGTCGGGTAAAATGAAACCCAACCCCTTAAAAACTACCTGCTTAGATAAGTATCGATATGCATGTTTCGTTAAAAACACTCGAAATAAAAAACAAGTGCAATTAGCTTGTCTTCCTCCAACTTCAGTTGCTGCTCATCGACATCTTTTTCGGGTATATTACCAAGTTCAAGTGTGGCTTGATTATCAGCTAGACCCAAAAGACTGGGGTTGGAAGTTGGTCGACAATACATTAGAACCAATTCAGACTTTACTCATTTACTGAAAAACGCGAAAAACCCATTTTTTTGACCTTTGACCTCGAGTAAATTTTTTCCCGAGTATCGGAACGATGAGGAATTTTAATACGTTATTTTTAATTATGTTTTGAACAACTTTACTAACTTTCAGCTTGTTGTAAATTTATGTATCTTTGAATGTCTAGATTGACCGGACTATAATATCCTCAACAAATAAAAGGGGCACTTTTAATTTTAGGTATAAAATTTTAGAATGCGTAGAAAGTTGTACTGAAGTAACTTAAGCCTGAAATAAAAATTAAATACACCTACTTACCCTTTTCTTAAACTCTAAAACGGCCCCTGGTAGCATGGTGATAAGTATCTTGATACTAACGGTAAACAACTTTAATACGAAATCGGTTATGAGAACGATCCAAAGCAGATTCCACACAGAAAGTGGATGAGTAAAAGTCCTTATCAACACCAAATTGAGAACTATGTTAAAATTGTGCAGATCATCCTCAAACACGTAATGAATAAACACCAAACACACGAAGATGTACACTAACTCTAGAGAAAGAGTTGAAATACTTCTCCTTTGTCTCTTGATCGCTTCTTTTTTCACAGCGGAGTTTGAATGAGCAAACGTCACAAATAATATAATGAGTATGAAAATACCTTCGTGATAGTCGTATACAGCTTTTGCTAATAAAATTAGAATAAAGGGAACATATTTCAACAAAACTTTCAAACATTCTTGCGCCTCGATCACAGTTTGCATTCTTTCTTGGTCATCAGTATTGTTATTGTCTGTATTGTTAGTTGGATTATTCAAAAAGTTCCCTACGTCCTCTATATTAATCTCCTCTGTTGCTTCGGTTTCCCTGGGGGTCGGAGGTACATGTAAATTAATGACAAAACTGCCGTCGTCGTTACCAGGAGGCCTACTTAAGTTCGACTCCGACTGAGGCCTGTTCAAGAAACTCGAGACTTCAGCATTCACAGTTCGAGCTGTTTCAACTAGAGGCTCTATGCCTCGTATGACACTGGAAAAACTATCCCTCAAGTGTCTGGCACTTTCAACTGTTCTATGGAATGATCCTGACACTGACATCGACGGTAAAGTGTTGCTTGAATGAGCTGTAAGCAGGACCCTTGGTTGGGGTTGAGTCAGATCCGCGGATTGACTTCGATGGAATGAATGGCTGCTGTTTGGATTGTGGGTCATCTTGCACTTATGTTTAGGATTTAAGAGTGGTGAAGCACTTCACTTTTATTGTGTGCAACAATAAATGTTTATTTTATGACATTTTTCTAAGTTTATAGGTTAACGTTTAACTGACTCAGACCACTGAGTATTTCGATAATAGTCACCATAGACTTAAAGTAACAGAAGCACATAGTACCGCGTTCCCGTGTTAAGCAAAGTGGTTTAACACGTCAGCACCCATGACGATTATTGATTGGTTCAATAGAAAAATTACACCAATCAACGTAAAAGAAACGGTATTATTGGTCATGTGGCTTGTAATCATTTATGGTTATTTATATATTTTTTGAAGCAAAGGGAAAATGATTGTAGACTGTTTTTTGCAAAAATTTACTAGTTTAGAAAAAACGTATAAATCAAAGGTTCCATAAAAAAATAAATAAAATTTCTTCAATATACATAACTTGCATAAAATATAAACAAGGGTTTATTTCCATGGCGGTTTAGGAAACCTCCTCTCCTTCTGCGACCCCTTAGGAGCCCCTTTACTTGTGCTTTCTTGATCCTGAGAAAACGTTTATTATTCCCGAGTAAACGTTTGTTTGAAATACATACTTACGTGTTGCCAAGTAGCTCGGTCCGTCACGTTTTCAGGCGTCCCGTCGATTTCTTTTTGCTGCGATTCCTGAGTTGGATTTCCGGGTGGCCTATTTAACAACTACACAAAAACAGAAAATAAACAGAAAATTTACTTCGAAACGTTCTCACAGGCACCAAATTAGACGGAGCGATACGAAACTAATTTGCAATGAAAAATAAAAACAAATTACAATTTTGAAAGGTTTATTTCACTTTAAATTAACATACAGTTACTGTTCAAGTACATAAACAGCTTCATCAGGAATGCCGGAGCGTTACGTAAAATCAAGTAAGCCAATTTGATGCCCTGTGTAAAAAAAATTGTAAATTTATAAAAAAAACGAGAATGGCGTTGCAGTAACAAAAATTTCTGTGTGAATTCAGCGTGATATTAACAAAAATCAACGTCTTACCAAATTGATGTACTGCTGAATTTCGTTTTCGTTGTACGGTTTACTCCCCTGAGTTCTACTGGACACGGGCGTCTCCACCGGACCGTCGAAACCCTCCCGCGGGTTCTTCTCGAAATTATTACCAATGGAAGACAAGGCGTCTTCGTTCTGGAAGGAAGGAAACTGCGGCTGCGCCTTTCTCGCCACGTTAAAGTGTTCCTCGTGTTGCTGAGCCAGCACCTCCTCGACGTTATTGTACGATTTCGTCTTCAGCGAGTTCAACTGGTCGATCGTGCTGAAAGTCTCCTCGTTGGAAACGGGACTCCTGGTTATTATCCTCATCGCCTCGGCCCACTGAGATTCCATGATCCTCTGCAGCTGCTTCGCGATCACCACCCGCTTGTCGTGGAGCTGGTCCATCTTCGACTGCATGCCGTCCACTTGCTGTTTGTGCTGCATTATCTGGATTTCGTACAGCTTTATCTCTTCCTGGTGCTTCTTCTCCAGCAGTTTTATTTCCAGGGTGTATCTAGGAGAAAAAGTTGTACGGGTTAACGGGACCCCGAAATTCTGGACGTTTTGTGGGATTTCAATGCCCGGATCAGTCCCAGAAATGCCAAAATCAAATTCAAAGCCGCAATTATATTTTATATTATATTATATTTTAAATTATATTTTCAAAGATTAAATTAAGATTAATTAATTAATGGAAAATATACTTTAATTAGTGAATTAATTAAGTAAGATTAATTAATTAAGTAATTAATGTTAATTAATTAATTAATGGAAAATATAATTTAATTAGTGAATTAATTAATATTAATTAATTAATTAATTAATTAATTAATTAATTAATTATATTATATTTTCGTAGATTAAATTAAGATTAATTAATTACTTAATTAATCTTAATTAATTATTCGAAAATATAATTTGATTAATTAAGATTAATTAATTATTTAATTAATTAAGTAATTAATCTAAAATAATTAATTAATTAAGACTAAGATTAATTAATTAATTAAATTATATTTTCGAAGAATTATATTTTCGAAGACCCCTGTGCAAGTGTTTACTTACTTCTCCGATACTTGCTGTATGTGCGTGGCGGCAGTTTTGGCGATGGACATCTCCCGTTTCTTCACTTCTTCCTTAAAAGTCCTCTCGGCCTGGTCCAACTGCGTCTGGAACTCTTTTAGTTTGTTCTGCACCAAAATCTCGACCTGGCCCTGGTAGAAGTTCCTCATCTCCAATTTGCTGTTGTCGAGTTGCTTCCTCACTTTGTTCAGCTCTTCCTTGAGCTCTCCCTGAAAGTCATACACAGGAAAACGCAAATAAAAGTTAGACAATTTATTTCCGCTCGAGTACATATTATTTAAGTCTAAAAATTATGTGTTTACTTCACGCTTTTTGTGTTCGTCGACTTCGCCCAGCAAGAAATGCTTCTCCTCTTTCAACTTGATTATCTGCTCCTTTTCTTCTTTAAGTTCTTCTTTTAGTTTGTTGCATTCCGTTTTTATCGAAGTGAATTCCGCCTGGCACACCTCCACGGCCCTTTTGCTTTCGGCGACTTCCATTCGTGCTTGATTCAAAATGGTTTTATTCTAAAACAGTTCGATTATAGTTTTTATTCTTAAATTACCGTCGTGGATATACCTCGCTCAGTTCTAGCTCCTTCTGGCTCAAAATATCGGACATTTGCTTGTTCCGCTCTAGTTCTTTGCCGTAATCGTCTTCGATTTCTCTACACTTGCGTTCTATATTCTGCAATTCACTCTGCAACTCGGCGCAACGTTTCTCCAAGGAAGACAACTTTTCCTGGTTCCCGTGAGCCAGATTAAGTGCCTTCGAAGCTTCTTTTTCGTAGTAAGCCACTTTCTGGAAATGACACTTTTTATACGTGTTACACTAAGCGCTAATAAAAATCCGTACCTGGGAATACTCCTCCATCTCACTGCTGTGACTGCTTTTCAAGGTCGCCACCTCTTGCTCCCAATCCTGCTTCTCTTTGTTAACCTTCTCCAGACGACTGATGAGTTTTTGTAACGCTTCTTGGAACTGCTGTATAGTTTTATTCTTCGACTCGTCCACTTTAACGGCGACCGATAATTTTTGTTGCAGTTCTAAATTCCTATTCTGAAGGTCCTGGATCAACCCTTCGCAATGCTAAAATACCGACAACATTTTAGTTTATAAAACGCCTATTAATTATTTATCCGTACCTGTCGCCTCAACTTTTCCTCCTGTAGTTTCTGCAGGAGCTGAGTAGGATTGGAATGCGCTAGATGAGAATTTGTACTCCATATATCGGCTAAACTTAACAATCCCAAATTATCGCTAAGAGTATTGGCACTTCTAGGTTTCGGTTCTTTTGCCTTTGCCTTCATCTTCAGCTTTTGAGATTCCGTTTCTAACAACTGTTTGTGCATGTTTAATACATTTAGAGCGTTACTATGCAAGTCAGGACTAAACAAATTACTTCTCTCTTTCATATAAGCCGTTATTTGTGTCGAATCTGAACTGCTGTCAGACGAAGGATATTTGTCCATACTCGTCCAAGAATCGTTAATTGTAGGTGGTTTTTTAAAATTAGCCTTAGGTTTACTTTGTCTGGAATGTTCTTTATACAAATTTTCCCTCATGCCCATTCCGTAATCAGGTACACTTTCTTTATTATCACCTTGTCGCCAAGTTTTTTCTTTAGTAATCACTGGTTCTGGCTCAGTTCGTTGTTTGTCTTTATAGTGCTGATCAAAATCTCCTCGAAACCTGTCCATATCTTCATTTTTATCAGTCCTTGGAATCCCTACGTCACCAAATTCCCTGTCTAGATTTCTCGATGCGTTTATCCGTTGAATGGTCTTAACTTTTGACAGAAATGTATCGATTTCACTCGACGTTTGACTATCCCTCACAGGAGTAACATCCGGTGATGTCCGCCTTGCGCTTCTTGGAGAACTTGATTTGAAATCCCTGGTTGCTCTTATACTTTTTGAAGAACTAAATTTCTCAATATTAGGGCTAGCCGGCAATGAATTCAACCTAAATTTTGTGTGTGCTTTCTGAGGTGTACTCTGTGCACTTTCAGACACATACAAGTCATCGATACTGTTATATTTACGAAACCCCGAAGACTTCTGCATATTCTGAGTTATATCAAAATCCAATGAAGTATTTAAAGAACTAGTTTCTATATTATGAATTCGTTCTTGCAAATTACTGACCTTCTGAATAAGATTATCGACGATGTTATAGTATGGTTCGACACCTGAGTGGCCTGAATCTGAATCTATTACGAAAAAATCTGGAGGGATAAGTAACAAGTCGTCTGTATCATCTGTGTCACTCATAACTTAAACAATCTTCTACGTTATTGTAATTTCCGTAAAAAATGCGTGTAAACTTCATAACCTATAAAAATTTCGTTTTAGTTCGTCCACAAACATGAACACTAACTAGACTAATTAAAAACTAAAAACTCACTTAACTAATGGTCTCAGGCAAATAAATATTCAATTTTGTCAACAAACTTGTTTACATACAATTGACGTTTGACAGTAAATTCGCAAATGTGACTAACGCTTAGATTTTACCAACGAACAGAATTGCCATCAAACGGAATGTTCAGTTCCTCGAATGGCCACAATTATAATTAATTTGCATGGTTTTCTAGAAGATGGGACTAATAATTTATTTTATAAAGATAAAATTTACACAGAAATACTTTTAGCTACAATTTTAATTACGTTATTATTACCTACTTACCTGTTAATTGCTCCTCAAGTAAAAATATCATGATTTTAAGCTTAATGAATATTTCAACACAGTTTTTTCCAATATACATAAGTACTTTTAATTTTGTTTACAAATTGGAGCATTAAGAAATATGGTAATTTGCCACAAGTGAAATGAAATGAAATAATTGTTTATACTAAGTGGTGTTTATTAAACACATGATAAAATCGCCCACATCATTGTGATAACTAATTGTTTTCAGGAAATGATCTGTGGTATCATTTAGAGCTTTAGTAAACAGCGTTAAAATGGAAAAGAGTGGTGTATTTAAAATTGTCTTAATTTTTGCCGTTTTGCATCCGGCTTTAGCGAGCTTTAAAAGGCTTGAGGATAAAACCAAATGCCCGGTTGTGAAGCCCATTCGAAATTTCGATTTACAACAGGTAAGACAGACGTATGCATATTCAGTTTGTTATAGAAGTCAGCACTATTGAGTGCAGAACAAAAAACGGGTAAGTTATGCGGAAAGCTAGGCGCCCTTTTATTTTTTTTGTTGGGATATATAAAAGGTAGATTTTATTAGCACCGTTTGAAATTTGTGTGCGTTTTTATAGATGTTAGGAGAGTGGTACGTCATCGAATACTATGCGAGTTCTGAAGAAGCTATCTCGTACAAATGCATGCGTGCCGACTTCACGATGTCGGCTTTAGAGAGCGTCAACATGAACTTCACATACAGTTTCACGGATGACCCCATCAACGAACAACTTATCGGAAACATCACTTGGACCATACCAAACCCAGTCGAACCCGCACATTGGACTCACTCGGAGGACACCTGTAAGTTTGGATGAATACTTTGTGAATACACAACAAGTAGGTCTTTTATCTTAAAATATATAGGGTGTCCCAAAATTTATGTCCACTATTCTATGATTAAAAACAAGAGAAAAAGTACTTAGACCAAAACCGCCATTTCATTTTTTGTTTATTAGATTTGCAAGATAGCAGTTAGACCTAGATCCAAATTGGTTTTATCGGGAATTGTTTTGGAGATAACTGGAAAGAAATTACTTTACTTTTTACTTTTAAAACAGGTATTTCTTCATATAAACTTTCCCTCATATTTTTTTTCTCTTCAGACGAGGGCGTGTACAACACCTACATCCTAGACTCCGACTACCTATCCTGGGCGCTCTTGCTGCACTGTGCCGAAAAATCCAAAGTGCCCAGGTACCTGTCCAGCTTCATAATGAGTAGGGAGCCAGTCCTGGGTGTCAACGTGATATCTTACCTAAGAGATAAACTGCCGAGGTACGACATCGACCTCACGTACATGTTCGACATGTCTCAGGACGACTGCAACTCCACGATCTCTGATCTGCCCCCAGGGGTCTTGCTAAATAGGCCCCTGGTGGGAAGCAGGAGGCACCCTATGAAGCACCGTCATTAACAAGTCGTTCTAATACCGTTATCGGCGATAGAAAATATAAAATATTTAAAGCGTATCGTAAAATATTATAAGTACTTATGAATAGGGCGGCCTATTGTCAGTATCACCCCCTAGCTTCTCTGCACCAAAAAATATTTCGTAAAACCTTGTTTTAATAGTTCACCCTGTATATTTTGATACATTTGGACAGAACTTGGGGGTGTCTCTAATAAAGTGACATACGCCAAAACATTGTGTCAATTTTTTGGCTAATAGGTACTGTCAAAAGGCCATTTTTATTTCGAAATGTCAATAGGTGACACTTATGGCAGATCAGCCAGTACAAATATTAATCTAATGTAAAAATATTTGTTAGTCCTATCTCTAATGATTGAAATATTATCATGTATGTTGTAATAATAAATTAACGCACATTATTTTCAAGTACTTACTGTGTTTTTCTTCAAAATTTAACAAAATGTGTACCAAATGTCATGAAATGTCACATTATTTCTTGCAACTTATTTCGCTGATTTTCGCTACGAAGGAAAAATGAACTAGTACTTCTAGGTCGAGAAATAAAAAAGTTACGGGCTGTTCGCCACTTTAATGTCACGTGACTTAAAACGTGATCTAACAAACCCTCCACCTCATATCTTTTTAACCGCGCCATTATTCCATGGTTAGAAATTGGCCTCAATGATTTGGGATCGAGGGGGATTATCCCTCTTTATCCTGCCTCATGTCGTGTAGGCCTGGACAGCCTTCGTAGGTGGGCCCCATCCGACGTAAATGCGGCCGGTGTAGGCGCTTTGTGGGACCTCCTTTTGTCCTGGCTGGGCCCCGCCGGCTAGGGCCCTTTCTTCTGGCGCTCTTCTTGCTGCTCTGCTCTGTGTAAACCCCGGGGGTGGTGTCATGTTTAACTTTTTAATCGTAGAAAACATCAAAAAACTAGCCCTGGCGTCCCTCTAGAATTTCGTCCGATGATTCCAGCAAACCAGTGCCTGTTTCTTGCTATGCAATTTCCAAAATAGTCATATTTGTAACTCGCACAAATTAAACTTTGAGTTTGCGTTTTCAATATTGCAAATTGTTGCAATATAGACGAATCGAAATAATTCATTTAGAGGGCACAACAAAGAAAATTGTTACCTGGACTTTTATAAGTGGAAAAGGTTGGGGGGTTGAAAAGTTATGAAAAATTGTATCAATGGGATTTCTGACGAAAGTTGACGCCAAACAAAAAAGTATCCAATATAGAAATTGTAGATCACGCAAAAGTCTACAACTTTTGTAGAGGTCACTTTTTAAGATAACCTCAAGATTTCCGAGAAAAATGCGAAAACAGTTTTTTTATTTTTCGTTTTTTATTTTTCATTTCCACAAAAATAATTAAATTTTGACTAACCTCGGTGAAAGTGTACCTTTCTGTGTCTTAAATAACCACAAATTTTTTTAGATAAAAAATCGAAAAGTTTCCGAGATTGTTGCGTCATTTTTTAATTTTTGCATTTTTGATCACGTTTTTACTGTGATTACAGATTTTTTTATTTCACCAAAAAGTATATGTCAAAATAAAAAAAATTATCACTGTCGGAACTCTGTACGATGATCTTTCTAAGTAGAACTTTTCTGTGTTTCAGACCGGAAAAAATGAATATCTCGGAAACTTCTTAATTTTTTTAATATAAAAAAATTTACGGTTATTTAAGACACAGAACGGTTTAGTTTCACCAAGTTTCTCCTAAATTAAATTATTTTTGCGAAAATGAGAAATCAAAAACGAAAAAAACCTATTTTTCGCATTTTTCTCGGAAATTTTGAGGTTATCTTAAAAAGTGACCTCTACAAAAGTTGTAGATTTTTGGATGATCTATAACTTTTCTATTGGATACATTTTTGTTTGACCTCAACTTTCGCCAGAAATCCCAATGATACAATTTTTCATAACTTTACAACCCCCCCAAATTAACCCTCCGCCACCCCTGCCCACGCATTTATTTTTGTAGGTTTATTATAAGCCCTTTTACCATTTCGACTTATAAAAGTCCAGATAACAATTTTTTTTTCCAAATGTAATTTGGTTGGGCTAATATCATACATTTCCCTAGCCTTGTTGCTTTTAAGCCTCTATTATCAGTTAAAACTTTAAAAAAGTTAATTGAAATACGATTTCCCATATTTTGGGCCTTTTTATTTAAAAGCAAATCAGTTTTCACACTTTGAAATAACTAACTTTCCTTTGACTTGAATAACAAAATCGTCGTAGATGATCCTTCCTCTTTTCCTATTTCTATGGTCGTAAACAACTCAGACTTATTTGTATACTGTTCTAACATTGACCCAATGCCACCAAATTAAATGGCCCGTAATAAGCGACTGTTATCATCCCATACATATCAACTCCGCTACAACGCTAGTCTGGGTAAAGTTGCCCGATGAGACTGACCTTAGCAACACAGCGATAACTTCAATTTCGTATCAGTGATCGCGGAAAATGTCTCTGGCTTTGCCAAGTTTGTACGAATATTACACCAGCGGAGGTATACACGCTGGCCTGAACGCCGACAAGCCTTATTTCACCCTCAACGACAGAAACATCACCATATACAGTGGCGCCCTTCATTATTTCCGAGTGCCAAAGCCTTACTGGAGAGACAGGCTTCGAAAACTACGAGCCGCTGGACTGAACGCGGTCGAGACGTACGTGCCATGGAACTTACACGAGCCGCAATCGGGCCGGTTCGATTTCGGTCAAGGCGGTTCGGATATGGAGGACTTTCTGGACGTGGCGGAGTTCCTAAAGACTGCCAAGGAGGAGGACCTGTTGGCCATCGTTAGGCCGGGACCGTTCATTTGTTCCGAGTGGGAATTTGGGGGGTTCCCCAGTTGGTTGCTGAGGGAAAGGGATATTAAAGTTAGGACCTCGGATGGTACTTACATGAAATATGTTACAAGGTAAGGGTGAGTTCGTTTATTTTACTTTTACATTGGAATTTTCTAAAGCATCTTGATGGAATCTAAATATGCCCCAACAAAATTTTCTTACGGTTTTATCTTAGATCTAACATGACTAAGAGCAAAAGCTGATTGCAAAGTCATTTATGAATATAGGAAACAGAAGAGGGCCTAAATTTAATCCTTAGGATACTCCAGAATGGTCGGACAATAAAAATAATCTCAAAAAGCTTTTAGCAGTTTTAGGAAACTGTTGCCTTTCTCGCCTTGCAAATAGATGACTTAGATCTGCTCAAATGTTATAGTGCAATGATTTGAAGATGTCAGGAATAGATTTCTTTTAACTTGACATCCTACAGATTAAAACTGAGATCAATAAGGACATGTGTACACGTTTTTAATGAAACGCCCTTTATTAAAATAATAACACTGGCAATTATATTATTCCCAAAATCAAATAAATTTTTTTAATTATAGGTACTTCAACATGCTTCTACCGATCCTAGCAATGCTCCAGTTCACGAAGGGAGGTCCCATAATAGCCTTCCAAGTAGAAAACGAATACGGTAGCACCGAAAAACCGGGAAAATTCGCACCGGACAAAGTGTACCTCCAAGAGCTCCGCGAATTGATGTTAAACAACGGCATAGTGGAGCTTCTAGTGACATCGGACAGCCCTTCGATGCACAAAACTGCCGGAACGCTTCCAGGGGTTTTTCTGCAAACTGCGAACTTCGGCAGCAACCCAGAAGTGGACTTCCTAATGCTCAAACTCCTCCAACCAGGTAGGCCTATCATGGCAATGGAGTTTTGGACCGGTTGGTTCGACCACTGGTCGGAAAAACACCACACAAGAAGCGATGAGGACTTTTACAATGTATACGAGAGGATTCTGAAGTATCCGGCGTCTGTCAATATGTATATGTTCCACGGAGGCACCAGTTTTGGCTTCATGAACGGTGCCAATTTAGGGAACACCGCTACGGATAACTCGGGGTATCAGCCCGACACCACGAGTTACGACTACGACGCGCCTTTGAGCGAAAGTGGCGACTACACCATGAAGTATGTGATCGTCAAGGAGTTACTTAAGAAGTACAACCCTATACAGACCAGGTTAGTATTTGTGGATTTTTTTGATAAGTAAAAATGCACTTTGAAGCGCCACATTGTTTAAAATACATACAACTTTCTTCTAGATTACCCCAAACCCCCCACATAGCTGCCAAGGGAACATACAAGCCCCAAAAAATCGCAAGCCAGCTAACTCTGGACGAGATACTATCCAAAACTCCTCTGAAGTTCTCAAGTCCCGTGGTGGTGCCAATGGAGTTGCTCTCAGTGAACAATATGTCCGGGCAGAGCTACGGCTACGTAGTTTACAGAAAGAGAAACTTGGACATCGCAGCAAACGCGGTATTGACAATCGGGGGTAGGGTATGCGATAGCGTCGTGGTGTTAGTCAACGGGGTGCTAATGTCCAAGCCTTTGAACACTGCCAGCGACTTGAACAGTTTTGGATTCTGGAGGTTAAACAACTCTAACCTAACTTTGGGACCGACGAATCTGACAGGAGCAACTTTGGATTTGGTGGTTGAGAACTGGGGAAGGAACAACTTCGGTTACTTAGAACAATTCAACCAGTTCAAGGGCCTTTGGCAGGGTTCAGTTTACTTGAACAACAGAGAAATAACTAACTGGGAGATAGTTCCTTTAGAGTTCAAGAAGTCTTGGACCAAGAACCTTACGGGCTGGCACAGTCCTTTCCCTCAACAGTCCGTTGGTCCGTCGTTATACAAAGCCACTTTTTATGTGGACGTGCTCGAGGATACCTACATAGACATGCAGAATTGGTGCAAGGGAATCGTGATAGTGAACGATTTCGTTCTTGGGAGGTATTCCAAGATCGGGCCCCAGCAAAGCTTATACCTGCCAGCCCCTTTCTTGAGGAAGGGGTGGAATGTCGTTGTAGTTTTCGAACATTACGTAGCCGCGAGTAAAATTAGATTTTCGAGCAATATGATCTACAAGACCCTTACAGGAAAGAAGCGAAGACAGTGAAGGCGTGAACATTTTGTAATACATTGTAATTGTGTCAACAATGAAGGTGCTCAATTAAAAAATATTTTCTTGTATAAATATTTACCTAGAAGGGTTAAAATTAATTTTTTTATGGATACATGATTAAAATAGGTTCAACATGTCAATATGTAATGATAAATGTGTAAAATTACATGAACCGAATCATATTTGAAATATTCGCTATAACTTTCTAAGTAACATATTTGCTTTTATATTCAACAAAACATATATCCCTAAAGTCACAAATTAAAAATGTTATCAACTGCTAGCAGATAAAGTTTAGGAAATAGTGTTTAGAACTAAAAAAAAGTATTTTTCAAGTAAAACAATGCAGTTCAGTTAGAATAGTTAATAAGGTGTACTTTATTTAATTTTATTTTATCGACAAAGTTAATCAGAAACATTTCCGTTGGGTCGATAATGAAACTATTATTATATTGAGTGAGTTTATAGACCAGGGTCGATAATTTTTGAAACCAAAAAAAATTATAGTAGGATGAAACCCATTGGAAAAGAAAGACAATATAACAGAAATGAAAGGAAAAATAATTTACGGGCGATCTGAGGTCGGGAAGGGGTAGGGGGTGAGTTTTTAAGGGTAAAAAACGGTTTCCCTTGATTTCCAGAAAAACTACAAGTCTTATGGAAAAAAGTTAAATGGCAATGTTGTAGGTAATAAAAAGATCTACAACTTTTGTATTTACA